TAATCAAATCCTTCTTGTCTCATCTATCAACCTCCCAGCCCCCAGCCCCCAGCCCCACCCCATTCACTATCCAAATGGCAACTGTCTTTTGGTTTCCCTCTCTCTCCATCACCAAATCCAAGCACTAATACAACATATCTTGACATCTAAATGATTATCCAAGCAGAAATCAAGTCCCCTAACTTGCTCACCTCCATGACCCCAGCAGCCTTACTTACACCCCACATTCTTCAGTGACTTACCTTGGCAGACCCTTGATCTTGCCATCACTCAAAATTGCTCCACCTCGGAAATGGGAACATACAATGGCTCACTCACTGAGCTAATTCCCTAGACCACATGATACCTCATTCATTCATTTCCATCCCACCTGCTGGCTTTTTCTTTAAACCGCTCAGAGATCACTATCTCTTTCCTTTCAGACTACTGCCCCCTTCCCGCTTAACATCTTGCTTTACCAAGCTTGGGGCCCTGTGCCATACCCCTCAACATTCTCTGGCTAGCCTGACAACACCTCACTCCTCTCTTTCTCCCCTACTTGCCCCACATATCCTCAATTTCAAATAATTCTACCTTTGCTACTACCTCTGTTATCTTCTCAAACTGACGCAGTTATTTTTAAAAGACTTCTTTTGCTTCATCATTCCCCTATATCTGCTACCCAACGTTCCTCATGCCCATCATAGTCAAGATCCTTGAAACAACACATAACATTCACTATTTCTGATTCCTCATCTTCTTCCACAGTTTTCAATGCTGTAATCAAGCTTCAGACTCTACCATCATTGAAACGTCTCTGGAAGTTCACAAACAACCTCCCAGTTTTCAAAGGCAATGCATTTTTAGTTCTCATCTACCTGATCTCTCTAACGTAAATGGTATTCCTTTGTTTTTAAAATTCTCTCCATTCTTGGCTTTTGAGATATTTCTCTCATCCAGATCTCTTTCTACGTCTCTCAATATTTCTTCTAAGTCTCTTCCATAGGTTCCTCTTACTCTGCACACTCTTAAAATGTTGGTGCTGTTCAGGATTCTGTCTTTGGTCTCATCTTGCCATTTGATCTAACTACCAGCACCATGAACTCTGCTGGCATCAGCTACTATCCATGTGGTAATAACTCCCAAACCTCTCTTTTGAGCTCCATACCTAGTTAGCTCTATACCTAACTAGATCTATCCTTTTGGACTTCCTAACAATTTTTCAAATTCAGCATATTGGAACTCAGAAAATATTTTCCCCAAATTTTCTTTTACTCACATATTCTCTAGCTCTTTGGGAGAAATCTTCCCTAACCACCCAATCTAAAGTATTTACGCCATCCTGTATCGTTCGCTATTAAATTATCTTGTTTTCTTTTCTGAATTGAACTCATTGGCTGATAGTTTATTATTTTATTTCTTTTCTTGGTGATTGCCTTTTCTCCTTTAACTTAGGCTTCATGAAAACATAAACTTTTAGCACAGGATTCCCTAGCACCTAAAAGAGTGCTTGGCACACAGTGGGTAGTCAATGTGTATTTGATGAATGAATGATAAAAGAATCTGAACCCTACCTCTCTCCTGCTTTATCCTTCCAATCCCCATTCCAGACACTTTCACTCCAAACTCCAGCGACATTAAACTAATTAATCTTCTAGGAACCCAAAATCTGCTTCAGCCCCCATGCCTTTATTCATGTTCTACCTCAGCTAGCAATATCCTTTACACCTAAATGGCGACTATTTACTCATTTTTATAAATTTACCTCAAGAATATTCTTTGAAGCCCTTCCTCCTTTTGGATACCTGTCTATCATTTCCTATGAACCATAAAAACCAATTGTTGAGTCAATTCTGACTCATGGCAACCCCATGGTGTCAGAGTAGAACTATGCTCCATGAGGTTTTCAATGGCTGATTTTTCAGAAGTACATAGCTAAGCCTTTCTTCTGAGGTGCCTTGAGGTGGACTCGAACCTCCAATCTTTCGGTTAGCAGCCAACTGCATTAACCATTTGCACCACCCAGAGACTCTCTATGAACTATAAGCTCCTTTAGGATATACAAACATACTCTAGTATTTCCTCCTTTAAGATTAAACTCACATCCTTCCCTACTTCGTACTTCATTTTTCTGCTCTCTTATACAGCCTAAATTTTGAAACAGTTGTGTACACACGTTGCTTACAATTTCTCACCTCTTATTTCCTCTACAATACACTCCAGTCAGGCCTCTACTTCCACCAATCACTGAAACAGCTCTTGTCAAAGTCATCAAAGGCTCCTATGTTGCCAAAAACCAGAGGATGCTTTTCAGTCTTCCCCTTACTGGAATGCTGAGTATTAATCAATAGATACAATCTCTGGATCTTCATTTCTATGGTACCACACTCCCTGGTTTTCCTGTTAACTTGTGGCTACTCTTTTTCAATCTCTTCTTCCATCTGTCCCTCCTGTACTAACACCTAAATTCCTCAAGGCATAGTCCTGAGATTTATTCCCTTCTCTCTTTACACTCTCTTCCTAATGGATCTCATCCATTTTCACTGCTTGAATAACACCTATCTCTACACTGACAACTCCCAGTTTTATACCTCTGTTTCAGAGCTCTCTTCCAAACCAGAGGCTCATATATGCCACTTTCAACTGGCCATCTCCATTGGGATTGTTTAAGAACACTAAATGTCAGCCCCCTCTAAAACTTAGTTCAAAGTCTTCTTCTCTCACCAAGCAAGCTCCTTCTCTCAGACTGCTTAATCTCAGAAAATACCACCACCACGTACTACTTGCTTAAGCTGCAAATCTAGGGGTCCTTCTTATCAACTCCCTTCTTTTATATCCAGTCAATCACCAAGTCCTGCCAATTAGACCTACAAAATGTGTCAAATAACCACTTCTATTCTTCTCCATTGTCACAATCTTAACTCAAACCATCTTAAATTTTCACCTGGACTGCTCCAATAGCTTCTCCCCCAGATTCTAATCTTCACTCATTTAATATATTATATGCAACAATCAAATGATATTTTAATTATGTAAATTAGATCATGTCACTTATTTTCTCAAATACTCAGTGGTATTCCTTGAACTCAAAATAAAATCTAAACTCCTTATAAAGTCCTATGAGGTTCCACTGGATCTGGCATGGTCTGCATTTCCAATCTCACACTACCATCTCCCTTGCTCATGACATGTCAGCTACCTGGAACTTCTTTCATCCAGCATCATAAATAAATCAGAATGTTTTCAGGGTCAATGCTTTTGTACATGCTGTTCCATCTGCCTGGGAGGCTTCCCTATGCCTCACCTACTTCTTATATAACTGACCCCTTTGTTCCTTACCAGACTCAACTAAAATGCCACAGACCAAAGATAACATAAATGAATTTTTGTTTATAACTCTTTTTTCTCCTATATGATGAGAGACAACTACATAAAACAATAATTCTAAAACTGTGTGGACCTAAAATATAGAAAGACGTGATTTGTATCATAATAATAGTACAAAGGAGCAGGGAGAAAATGGAGCTATATTGAAGTAAAGTTTTTGAATGCTACTGAAATTAAATTAGTATTAATCTGAATTAGGTTATTTTTAGGTTAAACTGTTAATATTAATACCCAGGACAACCACCAGAAAATTTCAAAATATATAGTAAAAGATACAGTAAAGGAACTAGAATAGTATATTAGAAGATATCTATTTAACACAAAGAAAACAGTAATGGAGGGACACAGGAACAAAAAAAGACATAAGAAATGCAGAAAGCAATTAGCAAAATGACAGGCATAAACTCTACCTTATCAATAATTACATTACAAGTAAATGGACTAAAAACTCCAGTTAAAGGGCAGAGATTAGAAGAATGAATAAAAAAATAAAAACTCATGATTCAACTATACGCAGTCTGTAAAAGACACATGTTAAGATTCAAAGACACAAATTGGTTGAAAGTAAAAGGATGGAAAAGATACACCATGCAAATAGTAACCAAAAGACAGCTGAAGTGGCTATAATAATATCAGATAAAATAGACTTTAAGAGAAAAATTGGTAAAATAATTAATCCGTCAAAAAGTTATAGTGATTATAAACATATATGCACCTAACCACAGAGCCCCAAAACACATGAAGCAAAAATTGACAGACTTCAAGGGAGAAACAGACAATTCAACAATAATAGTTGGTGAGTTCAATACTTCACTTTCTCTAATGTATAGAACAACTAGCCAGAAGACCAGAAATAAGACTTAAACAACACTACAAACCAACTAGATCTAACTGATATCTATATAGCACTCTACCCAACAACAGCAGAATACACATTCTTCTGAAGTCACGTGAAATATTTTCCAAGATAGGCCATATGTTGGGCCATAAAACAAACCTCAATGAATTTTAAAAGACTGAAATCATACCAAGTACGCTCTCAGAACACAATGCATCGAAACTAGAAAATAATAATATAAACAAATTTGGGAAATTTTTCATATAAGTATATAAAAATTTTTATACCATTGTCACATATATGTGACATCGAAGCAAAACACTCAATAAGTCAAAGAGGAAATCACAAAGGAAGTAAGAAAATACTCTGAGATGAATGAAAATGTATACACATGGGATGCAGCTAAAGTGGTGCTTACAGGGAAATTTATAGCTATAAATGCATACGTTAAAAAAGAAGAACAATTTCAAAATCAATAGACTAACTTTAAGACACTGGAGGAAAGAAAGACCAAACTAAACCTAAAGGAAGCAGAAAAAGGAAACAATAAAGATTATATCAAAAATGAATAAATTAAAATTAAACTAAAAATTCAGTTCCTCAATCAGACTAGTCACATTTCAAGTGCTCAATAGCCACGTGTGGCTATTAGAGAGCCATATTAGAAAGTATAGATATAGAACAGTTATATTGGATAGCACTGAAGCATCATAGGCAATAAAGCCAAGGTAAGGGATATTCACTGTCCTTGAACTTCTAAAAGGGACATACACAATCCATATGGAAATGACTTTACCTTGACCATAATGATGGTAACTCTTCTTGTAAGTCGACGTTAAACTCTTCAAACACTTTCTGTGCTTTCTGAAATTCCTCTTCTGCCTAGAAATGACATAAAATATTTGTTTCCACTAAAAAAAAAAAAAAATCACATGAAAACATAGCAAATTCTATGTACAACAATGTTCTTTAACATAAAATAGATATAGCTTTATGACAGCCCGGAAACATTTTGGTAAGGAGAAAAGTTGTCTGGTTAAAATCCACACTATTTTTTCAATTAAAAAAAATAAAATATTCAGACTCACTAAAATAGGGAGACTTGATTGATTGCAATCGTTACTCTTATAGTTGGTGGCTGATTCATTCATTGTACAAAAACGTGCTAACTCCCTGGATACTAGGTATGAATGTTCCCCTAATGAAATAGTGGGGAAGTCTAAATAATTACATTACTAGACAATACATAATATTACTGCTACAAGAAAGGGATTTTATTATCTGTATGCAGCATGCTATTGGGGAAGTTGTGCAGAGAACAGAGATGGTTCCTCAGAAGAGGTGATATTTTAACTGAATATTGAAGAATCAGCAAGTATTTAGTAAAAAAGGAGGTGGCAAAGGTATTAAACACTTAAAGGTGGAGTGCTTTGGGTTGGAATCTAGTTTACTAGCTGTGTGACCTTGTCAGATTGCTTTACCTTTCTGTACATCGGATACCTCATGCATAAAATGGAGATATTAATGACTACCTCGCAGGCTTTTGTGAAGATTAAGGAAAGGTAATGCAGACGAAAGGAGAACTGGTGGCACAGTGATTAAGTGCTAGGCTGCTAACCCAAAGGTCGGCAGTTCAAACCCACAAACCTCTCCCCAGGAGAAAGATGTGGTAGTCTGTTTCCATAAAGATTACAGTCTTGGAAACCTTATGGGTCAGTTCTACTCAGTACTATAGGGCTCGTATGAGTTGGAATCAACTCAACAGTAATGGGTTTGGTTTTTGGGTTTAATGCAGATGAAGTGTTAAACATGGTGCTTGACATCTATGAGGCTCTTTGTGAATGGTAGCTGTTGTTATATGTGTAGGTCACAGAAGCTAGAGCTTGGAGAATGTGTATGGGTAGTTGATAGGAAGGGGAAGAAGACCTGAAAGCTGATTAAAGGTGAACAGGTGAGATATAAACAAATTGTAAAGGTCTCATATACTGTGCTAACAAATTTAGATCTTTTTTTTTTAAAAGACAATAGAAGCCATTAAAATATTTAAACAGTGGAGAAATGTGTCTAGATACGTGATGTAGAAAGACCATATAAGCTTCTGCGTATAGGCATATAAAAACCAAAAACCAAACCAGATGCCGTCGATTTGGTTCCTACTCATAGTATAAGCATATAGAAGAGCAAAATACTGAAAGCAGAGGGAATAGTTAGTAGGTAAATTCAGTTAGTTGGCACCTCTAAGTTGTTGATACACATGGTAAAAGCTACTGAGATGGTTTTCCAAAAGAAAATAAATATTATGCAAATCTAGCACATGCCTGGCACAGTGGTTAAGTCTTCAGCTGCTAACCAAAGGTCGGCAGTTCAAATCCTCTAGCTGCTCCCTGGAAACCCTATGTGGCAGTTCTACTCCGTCCCATAGGGTCACTATGAGTCGGAATCAAATCGGCTCCACAGCAATGGGTTTGTTTATTTTTAGCACATGACCATAACCTCAGAGAATCACAAGTATGCCTGAGGTCTTCAAACTCAGTATTTCATCTGCATTTGCGTTTTAGCATTTAGCATCAACCACAACCACACAAAGTGCAGGAACACTTACCACTTTTTTGATCCTGCACACTGTTGGGGGCCAAAATATTTTATGACCAAAATGTATGAGTTGGTGTCACCCATACGAACTCTGTTGTCTTGGAAGAAGTACAACCAGAACGCTCCTTAGAAACAAGGATGGCGAGACTACATCTTACATACTTTGGACACGTTGTCAGGAGGGATCAGTCCCTGGAGAAGCTTGGTAAAGTACAGGGTTAGCGAAGAAGAGGAGGCCCTCAACGAGATGGACTGACACAGTGGCTGCAACAATGGGCTCAAGCATAACAACGATTGTGAGCATGGAGCAGGACCGGGCAATGTTTCGTTCTGTAGTGCATGGGGTCACTATGAGTCAGAACTGACTCAATGGCACCTAACAACAACATACGAACTCTGTAACAACAAGAAAAACTTTATCATTAATTAAAAAGCTTATGAAAAGTAGTCCAAAGAACACCATGTATCAGCTTAAATTCTGTCCTGATTCTAATTTCCTTTAAAAAGAGGATATTTAATTTTAAAAAGCAAAGTTGCAATGGGTCATAAAACACAGAGAGGATATCAACAGTAGGATAGACTTACATCAATCCTTACCTTAGAGATCCGACTCTCATCCTTCCTTTTGGAGCTCTGCAGAGCTTCTAGATGGTGGCGGGCACTGTCATAATCCACGAGCTTCCTGCTCCGCTTTGCAATGCGATTCTGCCAACAGAGCAATACATGCACAAGAAAGACACATGGTCATAGAGGTGCTTTTTGATTACCAACATGTTTTCCTTGCATGGAGTAGCTGCAGACTTTGAATGAGGATAGAGGCAGACTGGAATTTCAGTAGACAATTGACACCTAGAAGTCAGACTACAGCCTTCGACCCTTCGTGTGGAAACGATTAGGTTAATATCTTCCCTTCTGATAAAAATTAGGCCAATTATGGGGAGTTGAAAATCAAGTTTGTGGAAAAAGATCAGAAACATTCGAAAATCTTTTGGGGTAAGGAAGTAAACCTATACTTTTTATTTATCTCCACTGTAAACCTTTAAATGTTCCATTTTGAAGATAGTGAAAGGCTATATTAGGATTTGGTTTATAATACTCATAACACTAACTTACACTAACAACATTTCTATAAAACATATTTACTTCCTAAGAAATTCCTTTTGTACCAGTATTTCTCAACCCTCTGTTCATTGGAGTTCTGGTGGCATAGTGGTTAAGAGCTGAGGCTGCTAACCAAAAGGTCTGCAGTTCAAATCCACCAGCTGCTACCTGGAAACCCTAGGGGGCAGTTCTACTCTGTCCTATAAGGTCACCACGAGTCAGAACTGACTTGATGACAGTACGTTTTTTTGTTTGTTTTGTTTTTTAAAGGCGCTTTTGAAATATACTAACGACTAGGGACTTCTGCTTCCATTTCCACTTATAATATAGAAAGCAGCAAAGATTTTCACTCCCACAATAACAACCAGAAAAAATCTGGATAGTCTACAAAATCATAATTTTTCTTGAGTGCAACTGAGACTTGAGGTTCTAAGGCAATAAAGCAATCTAAATTCCAAAGAAGGACAAGTCCCTTCAAGAAGAGATGTGACATACAAACCATTTTGTGTTTGGCAGAGCGTAAGAAAAAGCTGTGGCCACCATATAAATAAGTAAGAAGAGGTCAGCTAAGTTTTAACAAATTGTTAAAGGCCCAGTGTGGGCTAATGGGTCCGTTTGGAATAGCTGGGTGTCCAAAACACAAAGGGAGATTGCACTTGTGGGAAAGCTCTTTCCTATAGGCTTCCATTGTATACTATGAGAAAGTTTGGATGCAGGGCAGAAAACCAGACAGAGAAGTTCAGGTGTGAATGAGGTTATCTATGGCTGCTAGGGGAGGCATGCACACAGCCGTGCCTATTTGTCTGGATGCTTTTCTCTTACAAAGCAAAAATCTTGAAGCTACTTGAGGAGGTGGTAGCAAACCCTCCTACCCACAGGATACACATAAATACCCATTGCTTCTAGAAAAGGAGTAGAAGCAAACCTATTTGGCTCTAGGGGAGAGCCAGGAATCACTCTGGGTCCTAGGATCTAGGCAGAGATCACTGTTATAAGCAGAAGGCTGGGAGGAAAAAAAAAACCCTACTCCTGGGGGAGGGGCAGAAAACTTTCTTGCCACCAAGATCCTACTTCTGTATTCAGCAGAGGTCTTCTACCATTTGGGAAAGGGCAAGAAACTCCAGCTCAAGACCAACCCCAGATACAAGGCAGACATCACCTAAGACAAAGCTGGAAAAGGATAACAGAGAATCCTCCTTCCCACACTACAAGCTGAGCACCAAATAACAAGCAATAGTTGTTTACTGCTGGGAGAAGAACAAAAAATGGAGAGCCATTTCCTCTGCAAAACAAGCATGTAAGGACAGCTGAAAGGTGAGGGGTGAGCATGAACACTAAAACCTTCTTACACTCCAGGTCCCACCCTACTTGGAGTCAAAGAAGAAACAAGAACCAGACCTCAGCCCAAGCGTCTGCAAACATCATAGATGTTAAAGTGCAAGGCATTAGCAGCCCACCTCTGGAGGAACTTCAAGTCTGTCGCGCACTGAAATAACTATATAAAAAACAAAACGCAAACTCAGCTCAAGTTCTGATTAGACTGACTCAGATTAATTAGTCTTGACAAAAAGGCAGGTGTAAATATTTAACTCAGTCTTCACTTTTCTATATATGATGTCCAGTATTTGATCAAAAATTACAAAGCATACAAAAAACAAAAAAGCAACAACCCATGAAAAAAGATAAGGAAATCAACAGAAACAGACTCAGACGTTAGAAATATCAAACAAAGATTTTTAAAATAACTGACAAATATATTAAATATCTACATGAGACCAAATAGTGAACAATTACTTTAAAACAAAGATGAGAATGTAAGGGGGCAGGGAACTAGATTAATGGATATGGAACAACTAGAACAGAAATAATGAGAATGTTCACGCATTGTGAAGAATCTAACCAATGTCACCGAACAACTTGTGTAGAAACTGTTGAACCGGAACCTAAACTGCTGGATAAACCTTCACCAAAAACACAATAAAATATTATTTAAAAAAAAAAAAAAAAAAAAAACACTGGAGAAGCAATAAATAAAAATAATGTTTTCTTATTCTTAAAACACACACACCTAGACACACCACAGTCAAGCTGCTTAAAATCAAGAATAAAAATAAACATACAGAAGAACAAAGTTAAGAATTACAGCAGACTAATAATCTTCAGAAGCGAAGCAAGCCAGAACACAATGGAGTGACATCTTTGAAGTACTGAAACATAAAAAAATAAAACTGTCAACTCAGAATTCTATACACGTGAAAATATCTTCCAAATTTGAAGGTGAAATAAAGCCCCCCCCACCAACAACCCGGGCAAATAAAGCTAAGAGAATTCATTGCCAAGCATAAGAATTATAATACTAGATGGAGTTACACCAAAAATATAGTACCAGAAATGGTAAAAATAAAGGTAAATATAACAGATTTTGCTTTCTCATTTTAAATTGTTTTAAAAGATAATTGATCATCTAAAGTAAAAAACAGAAAAAATGTATTGTGGGGTTTATGTTGTTAGTGCCATTGAGACAATTCTGCCTCATAGTGACCCTATCTACAACAGAATGCAACACTGCCCATTTCTGAGCCATCCTCACAATCATTGTTATGCTTGAGCTCATTGTTGCAACCACTGTGTTGATCCACCGCACTGAGGGTCCTCCTCTTTTTCGCTGACCCTGTACTTTACCACGCATGATGTCTTTCTCCAAGGACTGGTCCCTCCAGATAACATATCCAAAGTATGTGAGATGTAGTCTTGACATCCTCGCTTCTAAGGGGCATTCTTGCTGTTCTTCTCCCGAGACAGATTTGTTCTTCTGGTAGTCCTTGATATATTCAACGTTCATCAACACCATAATTAAAAGGCATCAATTCTTCTTTGGTCTTCCTTTTTCATTGTCCACCTTTCACATGCATATGAGGCAATTGAAAACACCATGGCTTGAGTTAGGTGCGCTTTGGCCCTTAAAGTGATATCTTTGCTTTTAACACTTTAAAGAGATCTTCACAGCAGATTTGCCTAAAGCAATGTGTTGTTTGATTTCTTGACTGCTGCTTCCATGGGGGTTGATCATGGATCTAAGTAAAATGAAATCCTTGACAACTTCAATATTTTCTCCGTTAATCATGATGTTGCTTATTGGTCCAGTTGTGAGGATTTTTGTTTTCTTTATGTTAAGGTGTTAATCCATACTGAAGGCTGAAGGCTGATCTTCATCAGTAAGTGCTTCAAGTCCTCTTTGTTTTCAGCAAGCAAGGTTGTGTCATCTGCATATCGCAGGTTGTTAGTGAGTTTTCCTCCAATCATGATGCCGTGTTCTTCATGTAGTCCAGCTTCTCGAATTATTTGCTCAGCACACAGATTGAATAAGTATGGTGAAAGGATACAACCCTGACGCACACCTTTCCTGACTTTAAACCACCCAGCACCCTTCTGTTCTGTTTGAACGACTGCCTCCTGGTCTAAGTACGGTTTCCTCATGAGCACAATTAAGCCTCCTGGAATTCCCATTCTTTGCAATGTCATCCGTAATTTGTTATGGTCCACAGGTTGAATGCCTTTGCGTAGTCAATAAAACACGAATAAACATTTTTCTGCTATTCTCTGCTTTCAGCCAAGATCCATCTGACATCAGCAATGACATCCCTCATTCCACGCCCTCTTCTGAATTTCTGGCAGTTCCCTGTCGATGTACTGCTGCAAATGCTCTTGAAGGATCTGCAGCAAAATTTTACTTATATGTGATATTAATGATATTGTTCAATAATTTCCACATTCCATTGGAGATTTAGGAGTAATATCTGGCATGGTTCTTGTTTCTTCTTTGACTCCAAATAGGGTGGGACCTACAGTGCAAGAAGGTTATAGCGTCCCTGCTTACCCCTCAGCTTTCAGCTGTCGTTACTTGCTTGTGTTGCAGACGAAATATCTCTCCATGTTCTTGTCCTTCTCCCAGCAGTAAACAGCAATTGCTTGTTATTTGGTGCTTTGGCTTGCAGTGGGGGAAGGGTTTATGACATATGCAAAAGTGAAATTTATGACAACAATAGCACAAAGAAAGTGAGGATCTGAAAGTATATTTTTACAAGGTTTGTACTCTCTATATAAAATAGTATATTATTATTTGAAGTTACACCATGGTAAGTTAGAGTTGTATTATGGAAAACTCTAAAAAAATTAAATAAAGAAGCATAACAATAAGCCAATAGTGTAGAAAAAGTATATGGATTCCTGGGCCCCAGCCTAAAAGATTCTGATTTAATTATTCTGAGGTCCAACCTCACCTTCAATATTTTTTAGAAGCTCCCCTTTAATGTGGTTCTGACCAGATAATCTAATACTGAGAACTATTGTAGGAGGAAAGTATTTGAAAACCCTTAAATTTGATAAGGCAGGAAGGAAAACAACAACAATAATAATATAAATGTTTATGGTTCACAAAACATAGTCACATCCCATGGATCTTCATACCAACATACAGTATGGGTGTTGCAGGTATTATTCCCGTTTTCTAGGTGGGGAATTTGAAGTTGCATGAGATTGACCTCTGACTTGTCCAAAATTACTCAGCAAGTCTGTGGCAAAAGCAGAATTAGAACTCAGGCCTC